ATGGAGCAATGGGCAAGGGTCTTGACAGTGGAGGAGATATTACTTAGGACTGCCATGGTTCTTAGAAGATTCAGCTCTGCTTAAGTTTGGAGGTGGTGATGATGTGTCCCAAGAAGCCCATAAGAAAAAGGTCAGACTCGTGTGGTTATGATATGGTTACAACTCCCAGAGGCAGGTCAAAGAAGATTAGAGTAGGGTGTGAGTTGGCACATGCATCAGGAAAGCATCTTAATATCAGGAAGCAGGATATTATAGTGGTTTAGACCAGGGGTTTGGTTTTAGACAGACCTGGGTTTGATTTCAGCATTGCGTTTTACCAGATATGTGAGTTTGGGCAATTTACTCAAATTCTCTAAAGCCTCAGTTTCCTCATCTGTAATAACAGTACAGATAATAATAGTACCTTTCACATAGGATTGTTATGAGAAATGAGATTAAATGTTGTAAGCACTCAATAAATGTTAGCTGCCATCATTATTATTAGCGAAATGATCACTATCTAGTGATGCATCTAGAGCGGAGCTTCTCAAACTTTAACGGGTCCAGAGCCTTGCTGCTCAAAGTGTGGATGTTAGCACAGCAGTACCATCAACCAGAATCTTACAAGGAATGCAGAATCTCTGGCCTCACTCAGAACTAGTCAAGCACAATCTGCATTTTAACAAGATCCTCAGCTGATTTACATGCACATTACAGTTTGAGAAGCTCTGGTCTGGAAGAGGTCAGAAGTTGTTCATTAAATCTGTAATACAGGTGAGGCGTGGCCAAGACTAAAATGTGAATATCAAGAGTGGATCTGGGGGGCTTCCCCGGTGGTGCAGTGGTTGAGGGTCCGCCTGCTGATGCAGGGGACGCGGGTTCGTGCCCCGGTCTGGGAGGGTCCCGCATGCCACGGAGCGGCTGGGCCCGTGGGCCGTGGCCGCTGGGCCTGCGCATCTGGAGCCTGTGGAAGAGGCCACAACAGTGAGAGATCCGCGTAAAGAGTAAATAAGCTGCAGAATAGCCGGTTTTCAGGGCAATATTAAGGGTTGGCTAAATAGAGCAATGCAAGAAATAAATGTTAAAAAAAAAAAAAGAGTGAATCTGGGGACTTCCCTGGTGGCGCAGTGGTTGGGAGTCCACCTGCCAGTGCAGGGGACACTGGTTCGACCCCTGCTCCAGGAAGATCCCACATGCTGCGGAACAACTTAAGCCCTTGTGCCACGACTACTGAGCCTGCGCTCTAGAGCCCACGAGCCACAACTACTGAGCCCGCGTGCCTAGAGCCCATGCTCCGCAACAAAAGAAGCCACCGCAGTGAGAAGCCCACGCACTGCAATGAGGAGTAGCCCCCGCTCGCCACAACTAGAGAAAGCCTGTGTGCAGCAACAAAGACCCAACGCAGCCAAAAATAAATAAATAAATTAATTAATTTTTAAAATGATTCATATATATGTATGAATACATTTTTTTAAAAAAGAGTGAATCTGGGAAGTAAGTATTTATACCTTCCATTCCTAACAACGACACTCATTCATGGATCTTTATCTTCCAAACTCCCTGCTTGACTCCTGTAACACACACAGACAAAACAGGGCTACATAGAGATGGAATCTATATACAGTTGAACTTTGAACAACATGGCTTTGAACTGCACGGGTCCACTTACATGCGGATTTTTTTTCAATAGGAAATATTACCACAGTACACGATCTGTGGCTGGTTGAATCCTCGGATGTGGAACCGCAGATAGGGATGGGCAAGTGTAAATTATATGCAGATTTTGGAATACACGGAAGGTTGGTGCCCTTGACTTCCCATGTTATTCAAGGGTCAACTGTACTGGGAATCTCCCGGAGAGGGGATTTGCATGTATGTTGAGAACGTCAAGGGCCAGATAATCATTTCATGGTGTCTTCTTGGAGGAGAGGGCATTCGAATTTGGCAATGGAGGATAGTTGGTATTTCGTTAAGTACAGCCAGGAGAAAAGGACATTCCTGAGAGAAGAAAGGCAAAGGCAAGAGGCAGGGAAATTCAGGGCAGTTCCATGGACTCCTAAGTAATTAAGCTTGATCCAAATAGAGAGTGGGTGATGAGAATGAGAATAATTGTTAGTGAGATTGGAAAGATATGTGAAATCCAGGTCATGGAGGGCCTTAATGCCTGTTCAGGATTTTGGATTTTATTCTGAAGGCTGGTGGCAGCCACTGAAGGTGTTTATTGTACACGTCTCTGCATTCTCCTTGCCCAGAAAGTCCAGCTCCTGAGGAAGAGGAACCCACTGGAGGTGGCCCCAGAGTCTTCAGTGCTGGAGTCCTTGTCCTTCAGGATGAGCTGAAGGCAGAGCTTGAGACCTTGAAGACTTTTAGTGAAACCACTATTAGGTTAGTTCTACAAATGGCCCTAGATTGCTGACTTGGTCATATTATGGACAGTGCGAGTTGCCTGGTCATTCAAGGTCAGCATTTGGTTCACCTGTACGTGTATCATTTGGGTACGATGCACTGCCACGTCTCTGCCCTTCTGAATGAAGTCTGTTGGCACAGGTTAGCTATACCCATCCAGACTGAAACTGAATCTCTAAAGACTCCATTTGGGGAGGTGATTCTTTGAAGAACTGCTTAATCTGCCTAACAGATAATCCACATTAGAGATGAGCAAATTTAACATCACTCCAAAGTGAGATGTCAAGGAACTATTCCCACATACTAGCAAGGGTGAGAAGGAACTGGGAAGACTTCAAACTCTCTCTCTCATTAGAGGGATGGGGCGGGCACCAAGAACTGGCCTGTGTAATATAGACCTATGGCAAAATCGCTCAAAACCCATTTCAGATCACGTCTGTTTTCCGTATCAATGTGAAGGGCAGGCAGGATAGAATTGAAGCTTTAATAAAATCAAAATGACTTACAGCTGCCATTTTCTCCCTGCCTCTGTGGCCTCTCGGAGAAAATAAATCAGTAGGTCTAGTCCAACGTATTCTTCAACAAGCCCTGCTAGTCATTTCCTAATATCTCATATTGTCTTGTTGGTTGTTAAGAGATTGTTGGATTCATCCCAGCATCTTTTCAGATAATGACGTTAAATGATCTATAATTACCAGAAGTCATCTTCTCTTCCTTTTGGAAAGGTGGGAAGATGACTTCCTTCTTTTAATTCTTGGGCATTAAATTCTGTCCTATAGGATGATATCAGACTTAATAGCTGGTGAGTTTCAGTAATAATTGCTAATTCCTAAAATACCATGAGGTAAATGTCAAACAGTTTCATGCATATTTATGTATCTTTTAATCTTTTATTTGAATAGTTCTACTTTTTATGTTCTTGTTGTGGGTTCTGGAATTATAGGGCAACTTTTTCTCTATCACTTAATATGTTCACCAAGCAAGACCCTCCCACATAAACATACACCAATAACCTCAGGTTTCCCCCACCTTCTGTGCCTCAATGTATAGGGTTGTATAGCTTAATGAATCAAGCTGCCCACCCTACCCCCCCACCATGACTGCCACTCCCAAGAAACCATCTATGTATGGGTTGCATAAATGAGCCTCTGCTCCATCCCTTTAATCTATATGCAAAATATAAAGTGTGTGCTTATGTCCACCGTTTGGGGGATAACTTTGGTAGTTCGCACCAGATCCTTAAAGGATCTGTTTACTAAAGGCACATTAAGAGCCACTATAAAGACAATGCAATCTCTGCTACTTCAACCCAAGCTTTATTATCATCCTAACCTACAGTTGGAAATGGAGGTGGTCAGAAGGAATGCATCCTAGTATTTGCCCTAAATGACTGAAAACTCAATTGCACAAATCTCAGAATCCTTCAGTGTATAAGCCCAGAGGTGTGATTCCAGGTCCCAAAACATACACCCTTTTTCTATTTCACTCTCTTGTTTTAAGTTGTGGTGCCCAGAATATTTCTTCCTAAGTATCACTTAGTTATCCTCTTTTTCTCCTTCAGAAACCATATTCCTGTTCTTTAGTAATTCTCTGCACATAGCAAATTCCTTTTCTCTGTAGTCATTCTTTATTTACCCCCTGATGGCAATTTGGAATGACTTCCTACATTTTCAGACTAATAGAACTGGCATGGGTCCAACAGTAGACTACCACCTGTCAGTAGAAATTTCTTTTGTTCTTTGGTTTTTACTTGCACATCGTGGTGGTGGGCCGTGTCCAGTGGTTCTAAACCCTCAGCGCACTTTGGAATCACCTAAAGAGCTTGGAAAACCACGAAAGTCTGGGCTCAACTCCAAAGGATTTTAATTCACTTGGTCCAAGATGGGGCCTGGGTGTTGACATTTTAAAAGCGTATTTGCAGCAATGTAGGTGGTGCTATAGTACTTTATATTTTTGCTTATAATGACAGCTACCAATTCTTTTTCACTTAAGTTGGGAAATTTCATTTAATGGCAGCTGAAGGGCCATTTTCAACTGGAAAAATTCATTTATATGTGTGGTAAACTTTATCTTGATAAAAATTTGCACTAGTATTTTACCACCAGATGAAAAAAAAGATGAGCATCATTTAAAAATTAATGTATTTAAAATAAAGTACAGAGAAAAACATGTTTATATCAGGCTTCGTTTTGAATGGATCTTTTCCCCCAATCCTTACTGTAAAGATCTTGTGCTATAACTTTTAAAGCCATACAAATAAGAGTGCTAAACTGTGGACTTAAAAGTAGGTGTATAAATATTCTTACACAGTATTACTTGGAAAATAAAAATAAAATATAACAACCACATAAAATAAACCAATATCATATTTTCTTTACCTGTTAAATATTGAGAGACATTTACATTTTTAAAGTAAACTTTAAAATTAGGGAAAAAATAAAATAAAAGCAAATTTGCCAGGTGATTCCAATGTGTGACCAGGGTTGAGAGCCACTGGTCTTCTCCAGCAGGAACTCATCCAGCCGGGAGTGTGAGGGCCTTTTAAAGGATGCTGTGGGACCTGGCTAAAGTTTGGGCTTCCCCAGTGGGGGTAACCACTTCTTTTCTCTCCCCAGATGGTACTCCTGGCCCGGTGCGAGGGACACTGCAGCCAGGCGTCACGCTCCGAGCCCTTGGTCTCCTTCAGCACTGTCCTCAAGCAGCCCTTCCGTTCCTCCTGTCACTGCTGCCGGCCCCAGACGTCCAAACTGAAGGCACTGAGGCTGCGCTGCTCTGGGGGCATGCGACTCACGGCCACCTACCGGTACATCCTCTCCTGTCACTGCGAGGAGTGCAGCTCCTGAGGCCTGCTGTTGAGTGGCTTCTGGATGGGACAGTCCCTCCCCCTCGCTGAAACAGTTCAACCAGCCAGGGAAGGACTGGCAAGGGAAGAGTTAAGGCAAAAA